CGGCGTCCGCAACCTGAAGGAGGCAGAGAAGAGATAAAGGCGGTTTGGCGAATTGGGGAAGAAGAAAGGGGAATTTAACGAGGAGGAAGGTAAAGAAAGGAGGAGGTTACGTAAGAGCGGTAACAGAGGAGCAGCTTAGGTGGGGAAGGAGCTCACTATCGCCATCAGTAGAGCAGAGGAAGGAAGGGAGGGTTTAGGCTATGAGACAGGTCTGAATACCATGCAAATACTTCTCATAGCAAGGTCAATAACAGGGATATAATGCCATCTATCTCTTTGCCCCTTTGTGATTGAATAACAAACTCCCCATACCATCCTGCAGGCTAATCCAGAACCACAGACTCACGACAACTAGTATTAGGCGGCGTAGTAAATCCTGGCGGCAAGGTCGTAAAACTCGACGAGAGAAGCGAGACGGTGCAGTAGAAGCCCGTGGAGGTTCCCCCGCCGCCCGGGCCGCTCCAGAAGAACACGCTGAGGAAGGAGGTCGACGAGGTCACCTGCTGGGGGGCAGCGCTACCTCCGCAGTACCTTGGGGGTTAAGGGGAAAAAACTCTTATTGTCGTGTATACTGGTATCATTTTGTTTTGATTATAACACACAATTATTGACATTTCGTTTCACATCATCTACGTCACCGCCCTAAGTAATTATCATTTACGATGACCTGTACCATATCATCTTAATCGCTGTCAATATCAAAGTCTACATAAGTACTTATATAGACCTTGGTCAATATAACCTTAGCGTAAAAAAAACACACACATGCAATTTCAATTCAGATGAAAATAGATATAGGCACTATTCACCTATTCACTATAAAATGAAAATAGGCCTATTCACCTATTCACTATATTCACCTATTCACTATAAAATGAAAATAGGCCTATTCACTATTCACTATATTCACCTATTTCACCCTATTCACCTATTCACTATTTCACCTATTCACCTATTCACTATAAAATGAAAATAGGACTATTCACTATAAAATGAAAATAGGCCTATTCACCTATTCACTATATTCACCTATTCACTATAAAATGAAAATAGGCCTATTCACCTATTCACTATTCACCTATTCACATGAAAATACCTATTCACCTATTCCTATTCACCTATTCACCTATTCACTATAAAATGAAAATAGGCCTATTCACCTATTCACTATATTCACCTATTCACTATAAAATGAAAATAGGCCTATTCACCTATTCACTATATTCACCTATTCACCTATTCACTATAAAATGAAAATAGGCCTATTCACCTATTCACTATATTCACCTATTCACTATAAAATGAAAATAGGCCTATTCACCTATTCACTATATTCACCTATTCACTATAAAATGAAAATAGGCCTATTCACCTATTCACTATATTCACCTATTCATATCACCTATTCACTATATTCACCTATTCACCTATTCACTATAAAATGAAAATAGGCCTATTCACCTCCGCGTATTTTGAAGACCATCGTCAACGGACAGGTACGCGCCCGTGCTGCACTGCTCGCTCGCCGGCAGGTCAAACACCTGGCAGCTGAGGGTCAGGCTGTTCGCGGTCGTGCTCTGGAAACATCGAGGTTTGTTGTAACTGTTGTTGTTATTCATTATATATTATTATATTCATTATATATTATTATATATTATATATTATATATATTATGTTATTCATTATATATTATATATTATATATGTTATTCATTATATATTATATATATCATTATATATTATATATCTTATCATATATATTATACATGTTATTCATTATATATTATATATTATATATGTTATTCATTATATATTATATATTATATATGTTATTCATATATATTACTATTGTTGTTATTATTGTTGTTATTCATTAATTACGCAGTTATAGATTTTGTTTTTACAACCATTTTCAATCATATCGTATTCAGTATCATTTCAGTACCATTAGTCGGTAATAATTATTGCAGTTATTATTGCTACCATTTTATATTATATCAACTAATTCAAAATCATTTCAATAACATTATCATAATTGTCGTAATTATCATCACAATTTTCTTTACATCTATTATTATCATCTACCATTATCATCATCTCTCATTTCAAAAATAATGGTCTGGTCTTAACTTTCTTATTGCTATTGTTGTTAAAGTAACGATGATGATAATAGTGATAATGAAAATAATGATGAAAATAACGATAAAATAATCATGGTAGTGATAATGATTATATTAATCGTAATAATAATGATGATAACATTAAATATTATTATTATCGTTATTGTTATTATCATTAATATTGCTATAGTTAGTGTGATTATAATTATCATTGTTATTATTGTTTTCCTTGTTCTTATTATATTAACAATAATAATCATGATAAAAATAACAATAATATTCATCATCATCATCATCATCATTATGACAATAATAATGAAAATAATGATAACAATGATAATAATAATAATAGTTGTACTAATAGTAGTACCAATACTAATA